TATCTGACCTGTTATACGAGCCGACTAATTAATTTTAAGATGATCACTTGCTTTGCAAGTAGCCCGGAGTCACCACATTTGAACCTCCGTGGCCACAAGGGTCCTCCTTGGATTTGAACCTGAGACCTCCAGATACTTTTGACCTTTAGAGTCTAAACTCAAATCAATCAGACACCACTCTTGTGGTTAGAATTTAAAAGTTTTTTATACAGAGAAGTCCCATTTGCTTTATAGAAACATTTAGGTGAAATTACTCTCAAACCCTGATACATGTTTCTATACAATAAAAATAGTTTATACATATATACATATATATATATATATATATATATACATGCACATGCACATGCACATGTACATACACATACATATACACACATATATTTATAGTAACAGAAAGAATTGAGAGAAACTTCCTTTTTTTGTGATTCCCATGCTGCAATTGGAGTTGGGAAGATGAATCAAGTGGAGCTTGTTGGCATGAATATTGCATGAAACTAATTAATAAAGTCTGACCTTACGTAACCCATAACCATAAGTTTACATAATTAAATCTCCAACCCAAAAGAGTGGTGCTTGATTGGTTTGAGCTTGGCTTCAAAGGTCAAAAGTACCAGGAGGTCCCAGGTTCAAATCCAATGAGGAATAAAAATCCTCTTGTGGCTACGAAGGTTCAAATGTAGTGACTCCGGGTTAATAGCAAAACAGGTGGTCGCCCTAGGATTAGTCGCCTCGCATAGCGGGTTGGATATTTAGGTTAATAAAAAAAGAAAAATCTGATGAATCCTAGCTTTGTTTCAATTGATTGATTTTAACACAAAACTACAAACTTTCGCGCAACTGTAACCTTAATTAGTATTCCCCTACCCGTAATCCATACACCCTTATCGAACATTTACAAAGGCTTAACTTCAGTTTACATGCATCTTTTTGATCCTATAAATCATTATTTATCTATTTCTAAGGCTAATATTTCATTATATTGTAATATTACACTACGATACCATGTTCGTGTAGTAAATGCAAGAACTTATCTTATCCAAAGGTCGGCTATCATATATTAATATGGCAATTTGGGGGGCGTGTGGTACGTACGTGGTATAAGCGTGTCACGGTGAATTGTTTGAGCCAACATTCAAAGGGGAAAAGGGTCGATGTGAAAGCATTTCAATTGGATAAGATGAAATAGAAGTGCTAAGAGAACTTTGAGAGATTTTGAGATCAACAACATATATGAAACTGTAACAAGAAGGAACAAATGTGTACCCAAATGAAGCAACTATTTTGGTCTTACAAAATGCCTACCAAATGTTCAATGCATTCTATCCAAGTGACAAAGGGAGTGTGTGAACCATAAGGATGGTGCTTGATTGGTTTGAGATTGGCTCCAAAGGTCAAAAATACCAGGAGGTCTCAGGTTCAAATCCAAGAAGGAATAAAAATCCCCTTGTAGCCACGGAGGTTCAAATGCGGTGACTCCGGGCTATCTGCAAAGCAGGTTAATAAAAAAAAAGAGTGTGTATATATATACACACACACTCTTTTTTAAGACACTTTTAATATAAAGCGTCACATTAGTAACTATAAGACACTATTTGAAAACTGTCTTATAAAAACACATGTTCTATAAAAAATTGAGTTTATAGTACACTTTCTCAAAAATGTCTTATAAAGTTGCTAATACGATACTTTGCATTAAAAATGTCATAAAAAACTTGTTAAGACGTCCAAAAACGTCATATAAACTTATTACAACACCTTTAGATAAGACGTTTTATATTTTGGTCATATAAAGTGGTACATTGAGACGCTTAGAGATTGAGGGAGTACTATAAACCCAATTTTGTTATAGTGAATTCGAATCTAGTACTAGTATGCTTTAAAAGTAGAAGTTTAATTCGGGTTTCATGCCCGATATTAAAAATTAAGCAAGGCTACGATTATAAACTTATAAAACTACATAACGTATTCTTTTATGTTATGATCATTCAAGAAATCTTTAAGCAATATATGAAAAAAGTTAAAAGTCAACATATAAATAGGGTTTGACCCGTAACTTTTGGTTATAAGTTAAAAGGTCAAACACATTTTATCATTTGTTTATAGTGCACAAGTCAAACATCTCTTTTTAGAGTCAATGCAAATAAAATCATCTCTCAAATAAAAATATATAGGGTCAACCTTTTAAAAGCTTCATATATATGGTCGGTGTAGTGAGTAAGGCTTGAAACATGATGGTATGAGTTCTAGCTAGGTTCGAATACTACATATTACTATTAACTTAATGAATAAGTTAATCATGGGGTGCCTGATTGGTTTGAGCTTGTCTCCAAAAATCAAAAGTACCAGGAGGTCTCAGGTTCAAATCCAAGGAGGAATAAAAATCCCCTTGTAGCCACGGAGATTCAAATGCGGTGACTTCGGACTATCTGCAAAGCAGGTGGTCTTCCTGGGATTAGTCGGCTCGCATAGCGGGTTGAATATCCAGGTCAATAAAAAAACTTAATGAATAAGTCAAAAGCTTCATATATATGGTAAGAGTACAGCTATTAAATCGATTTTTAAGATAGTTCAAGTTTTTAAATTTACTTTAGTGACATCGTACTAACTAGGGGTGCTCAAAAACTCGACCAACTCGATCAACCCGATGAACCCAACCCAACCCAACGTGAAATAACTCAACCCGAAGCAACCCGATGTCTAATCGAGTTGTAAAATTTTCAAACCGTAGGTATTGGGTTGATATTGGGTTACTATTATTTGAACCCAACCCAACCCGATGAACTCGATATCCTTTTATTTCTTGGATTTAATATGATTGTTGAATTTCTATTTATATATGCATTACACAATAACGCTATCACGTACGCTCTTAATATACACATCTTTTTAATCTATTCACATCTCTATATAACTCATTCGTATATATGTTCAGTAATTTTAAACATATATATGTAAATTGAGAAAATTAACTGAATATGATATACGTAAGAAGTATGGATAAGTTATATCAAATGGTTGATGATGAAAAATAAATTATGAGTAGAAAAAAACATATTCAGAGATAGAAGAATATTTTAATGTATCAAAGTATCAACCCGACCAACCCGACCAACTCGTACGGTTTGGGTTGGGTTGGGTTGTACTTTCGTTTGGGTTGGATTGAGTTAAGATTTTTCAAACCGCAAACATTGGGTTGGGTTGATCAAATGTCTTCAACCCGATCAACCCAACCCATGAGCACCCCTAGTACTAACGTTGTTGAAGTAAAGTGTATAGTCAATCATATGTATCTTAACAGTTGCATTAAAAGAAAACAAAATATCTGATTAGTCATGGGATGAGGATACGTTGCTCATATTTACTGTGGAATTTTTGTTTTAGTTATGAAAAATGTGATCAGGGTCTAATTGTTGGTTTACGTGAGACGTTATATATGTACTTGTATAAAAAACAGAAAGGACTTTGAAAGTGTTTTTACTCAAATTAGAAAACAATAATTTCATTTTTTTTAGCTAAATCTAAAGATTTCAAGACAATGTATAATGCTTTATAATAAGATAAGTATTTATACTAACTTATAAACAAGATTTATCAAAATTCTTAAGAACAATTTTTAATGCATAAAGTACTATATATTTATGCACAAAGTCTTAAAAACAACTCATAATGCATTAAGTACTACTATTTTATGAATTCAGTTTTAAAATCTCTTAATCTACAATTAAAATAATATATAGTATAAGTTACCAATGCACATTATTACATTTTCTTTTAATGTTCCCAAAATACTTTTGACACATTTCACTCATGTGTTCACCCTCTCATACCTCTATGTCTTTTCCTCATCCCCCAAGGTGAGATTCAAACTTATATTCACCATGAGTTATTAAAAGTTTTTCCATTCATCTCCCATTCAATTGCTTTGGAACTCTCGGTCTCGCTTTCGATCTCTTGATTATTTGCTCTTGGTGTAAATCAAACACATTTATGAAGTCGTTTAAATATGTTGAATTTTAAATATATTGGAGTTTAAACTGTCATACAATTTTTTTCATCGATAGATTGTAATTGAAACCATAACTCTTTATTTATTCAAATTGTATTAATATGTAAAGATCAAGTCATCGTTAAATTTTCTCTAATAAAACCAATGAAACTTCAAAATCGTTAAAATCCACGGCTCCCTTTGCATTGCACGGGTATACAACTAGTAATTAATAAAAAAAAAATAGATATGAAAATGTTAAATAAATATTGTAGAGGATGTATAGCTTTTTGAAGGTCAAACTTTTGACTTGTTTTTCATTGGTTACCATTTAAAAACCACCTTTTATATTAGGGTCTTTCTCTTTGACATGGGTTATAATTATAATATAATTAATCAAGAGTTTTGACTTGAGTTACAATAATTATTGCAGTTTATAATAAGTCAAAGAGAAAAAGTCATCACCTACAAGAATCAAGAAATCAACAAAGCAAGATATGTGGAACCACAAATTTTAGATTATAAGCAAAAAGGTCAAACATTTTTTTTGGTTTCATGGTTTATTAATCAAACAAATCTTGAGAGTTTGATGTCACTTCAATTCATTGTATTTGTTTTTTAAACTGATATAATCGAATACAGAATAAAACATGCATCTGTTACTCAAAATGTCAATTGTATCCTATAATATTTTTGTTGTGTTCCCCTGTTCTTTTTGTAGAGAAACGACTTAATTTGGGGGGGAAATCATATTTGCAGTTGTTCGGCTAAGATGTGGTGAGACGGGTTTGTCATCGGTGGTGGTAGGTTTGGAGCTGGTTGAGAAGTCGAGTAGACGAACCATCTTCAAGAATTCACGACGTGGGGAAATGGGTTCTAAGAACAAGACGAAAATACACTTCATTTTTACAAACCACGATAACTATCTTGTAATTTTAAACTGCATCGACAAAAAATGTTATTTTTGACAAACCACAAGGACCAAATTTGTAGTTTACTTGAACAATAATTAATGTGAAAGATTTTACGACCATGAAATCAATTATAATCCACAAGGGATCTTACATTTCAAACGGTTCAAATCTAATATAACAATCATTTCAACATAGATCTTTAAACTACGAAATTGAACCCACAACTCAAAGTGTGAAACCCACCATTGAAAAAACTTACCCACGTCTCGAATAGACTTGAACTTACGACATAAAGAACGTAGAAACTCGATTTTTAACCACCAACCAAAAGCGACATGATTGCCCTAACGAAATCCCTACTGTAACTAGCTCGGACACGCCAACAATGGAAGAGGTATCCTTCTCAAGCCTTTAATATCATCCCCCGAAATTATACGGTCCATTATCAATTAAAGCTTTTAGAGAGTAATGGAAGATCAAGTTGAGCTTACGAGAACAAATAGTGGTTTGTCTCCTAACCGATCCCGACCCTGAAATGTAATGGTGTTTGGATAAGGTAATGGATTAGTGATTACATAAAAGTGGGTGATCATTTGGATCCTAGTACACTATCGTTCCTCATTCCCAAAAGAATGAGCCAGCCAAGGCCCCCTACGAGATTTGGATATCTATACTATATATAAAGCATTTGACAGAAACTCTTAAAACCAATTTTTTATGCATGAAGTACTGTATATTGATGCATATTACTTAAAATTCAAGATTACAAGTAAATTATGCATAAATACAACTTATTAAAGCTTCAAGTTTGAATTCGTGTAACTAACTGTGGATAAACATAATCAAATATACGATAAACATCTCATTTTAAATCTATACTATATTATAAAGCATTTGACAAAAACTCTTAAAAACAACTTTTTATGCGTAAAGTAATGTTTATGTATATCACTTAAAACTCAAGATTACAAGTAGATTGTGTATAAATACAACTTATTAAAGCTCTATATCTTAATTCGTGTAACTAACTGCAGATAAAAATAATCAAATACAGGATAAACATCTTATTTTAAATATAAAAAACTTATTAAAGCTCCATATATGAATTCGTGTAACTTACGACGAATAAACATAATCAAATAAAGGATAAACATCTTATTTTAAAATATAAAAAATCTAAAACATAATTAGAATAATTATCGAGTTCTAACAAAATAATTAATTATTATCTTTATAAAAAAAATTATATTATCTATACTATATTATAAATAATTAGACAAAAACTTTTAAAAACCACTTTTTATGCGTAAAGTACTGTTTAATAATGCATATTACTTAAAACTCAAGATTGCAAGTAGATTGTGCGTAAGTACAACTTATTAAAGCTCCATATCTGAATTTGTGTAACTAACTGCTGATAAACATAATCAAATACAACGATAACATCTCAATTTAAATATAAAAAATCTAAACTATAATTAGAATAATCATTGAGTTCTAACAGAATACTTAATTATAATATTTATAAAATTTATATTATTAAACTAAAAATAAATTATTTCATTGTTAAACTTATATTAAATTACAATAATAAAAATAAATTAAATAAGTTACATAAAAAATGAGAACTTTTAAATAGTTGATTT